AAATGGGAGGAAAGGAAAGGAAGAAAAAGAAAGCAAGGGAGAGGGAGAGGAAAAGAGAGAGAGAGACAGAAATGAGAGGGAAAATGGGAGGAAAGGAAAGAAAGAAAAAGCAAGCAAGGGAGAGTGAGGAAAAAAGAGAGAGACAAATGAGAGGGAGGGAAAGAGAGATCCATTCCACACACTGGGATTCCACACACTGGGAAACCACAATGCCAAATCCCAACCACCACACCACCAGGGTTTTGGATTAATGAATTTAATGATCTAAAATGACTTTTATTTGGACCCCCAGACAAGAGGGGAGAATGTGGCGAGAGAAAGGAAAGAAAGAAAAAGAAAGGAAGGGAGAGGAAAAAGAGAGAGAAACAAACGAGAGGGAGGGAGGCAAAGAGAGACCCATTTGCCACACACAGGGAAACCACAATCACAAACCCTGACCCCCCACACAGCGAAACCACAATGCCAAAACTCAACCACCATACCCCCAGGGTTATGGGGTACTGGATTTAATTATCTAAAACGGCTTTTATTTTGACCCCCCCAGACAAGATGAGTTCAAAAAGAAAGAGCTACTCCGTGGAATTCAAGAAAGGAATCGTGGAGGATTCTCGGGGCAAGAATCTGGCAGCCTTCTGCAAAGAGAAGATGTTGGATCTCCGTATGGTCCGAAAATGGAGAGTAGAGTACGACAACCTCCGCCAACAGGTGCAGGAGGGAAATGGCAAGAAGCGCAAGTGTGGATCAGGTCGGCAACCGTTATTCCCTGAACTTGAAGACGGCGTCTCTGAATGGATCGCTGACAGGAGAGCAAAGGCTTTGGTTGTGCGCAGGGCCGATATTCAAGCATTTGCCCTTGAAATGGCACCACAGTTACAAATTCCCCGGGAACAATTCAAAGCCTCTACGCACTGGCTGGATAGCTTCCTTCAGCGACACGAACTGTCTCTGAGGAGATCCACCTCACTGTTCAAGCTGGAAGATGGCGAACTTGTCAAACGGGCCCTTGCGTTCAAGTCGTCCGTTGATGGGATTGACTTTGCCAAGTACCAGCTATCGAACATTATCGCCATGGATGAAACAGCCGTCTTCATGGGCCAAGGGTCTCAAACCCCCATGGACCAGAGCGGTGCCACATCCGTCCCTATTCCCTCCACGGGATACGACAGTGCACGTCTGACATGCATATTGGCCATTCGGATGGACGGAACCAAAGTCACACCGCTATTGATAAACAAGGGAAAGAAGAACAAAATCGAAATGGTTTCAGGGATTTACACCCTTGAAACCGAAAAGGCCTGGTGCAGCCAAGCAGCCATCAGGAAGTGGGTGGAGCTAATGCTCCCACTTGTTGGGAGAGCTGGTCAAAGAGGCATGGTGGTGTGGGATTCAGCCAGCACTCACCGTGCCAAGGATATGAAAAGGTTTCTTGCCCAACGCAGGATCGATCAAATAATGATTCCCGCAGGAATGACTTGCTACCTGCAGACATTGGATATCGGTATTAATAAGGCTTTTAGGGAACATCTCCANGGGCAGAGTTTCAGTAGGCAAAAAATGTTGTATTCAGTGTATAAGACGCACCCAGATTTTCAGCCTCTTTTTTGAGGGAAAAAGGTGCGTCTTATACTCCGAAAAATACTGAACAAAACTCTGCATTAGTGACAGGAAGGGCATCTGGCCATTAAAACGCTCTGCTAGCTCCATTGCCCAGACTCCACCCTGCAAGGGATCGTGGGGTCATTAAATGAAGATGATGATATATTTTGATAAGAAGGAAGGGTTAATCAAAAGAACAACAATAGCATAAGTTATGTTGGATTTCCAGTTCTTTGCTTTCAGTATAATTGGAATGGATCTGACATAAGCTCATAGATCTTGGTTTGCAAGTATTTCGCCCTTAGATTAAAAAAGAAATGTGGAAAGCTATAATGTTTGTTGGAAATGAATCTCATTCTGGGTTGACCACATTATGCTTCTCCAAATTTTGGAAGGGCTGCTTAGACTGCCCCCCCCCCCCCAAAAAAACATTCAGGGCATACAGTTTATGTAATGCTGACCTGAATTAGAGGTGGAATTGGAGCATTTATAACTTGTATTAGCTGGAGAAAGAGTCTTGACTGATTAATTTGGCATATGTGTGATCAGTGTTGCAAGAAATGCAAAACTGCTTGAAGTTTCATCTAAATCTAATTTCTCAGAGATGTGTGTTTTTTCTCCTTATTTTAGAGAGATTTTTGAAATTACCCCAGATGATGTGGTGTTTATGGCTTCTCCTTTGAGTTTTGATCCATCAGTCATTGACCTCTTCATTAGTCTGGCGAGTGGCGCATGTTTGCTTATACTACCCACAGTGATTAAAATGATGCCACAGCGGTTATCCAGGGCTCTCTTCCAGCAGCACAGAGTGACCGTATTACAGGTAAGAAACTTGGAGAGTTAATTAAACTATTCACTTGTTTTGTTTGCTTGAGTAAGGAGAAATCTTACCAAGGCCATTTATATTGCAGATAGCTGATAACCTGGCGTTGCCCAGTTATTTATTGATCCTAATCCATACATTTGTCCTCCAAAATAATCCCGGACCAAATGTAATTTCTAATGTTGGATTTTCCCCCTTACCAGAGGGAGCCCCCNTAAGGAAGGCAGGAAGGAAACATTCTGGTGTTGTTTCTAGCCTAATCCTTATTGCCCTGCTTACAGAAACTGCCTCTCCGGTTAACCCTTATTACATGGTAACAGCTAAGGCGAAGCGCCCTTGACTTGAGTGACCTTGAGTTGGCCACGCCCATCCAGTCACATGACCACCGAGCCCCACCTACCCAGATGGATCTTTAGGGCAGTTAAATTATGAATCCCACCAAGACTGATATTGTTAATGTTTCTCCCAGAATATTAATTTCAATTCTAATTCTTGTCCAGCATTTCTCGTGAAATATTGGGCACATGAGTTCGATTAAATGCTGACACGTCTACAGTCTTGGTGTGCTGTTTTTAGGCCCTTTAGTCATTCCACGTTTTGCATTCTTCGTTAATCGCTATTTGGATTTTTGCAACACAAATCTTGCAGCCCTACCAAAATAACCACTGTGGGTTGCCAATTTTTCCCTTTGCTGCAATGTCATTTTGGGTTGTTGTTGTTGTTGTTGTTGTTTTAAAAAGCCATATTCCCTTGAAAGGCATCTGATTTGATTAGCTGCTCTAAATTTATTTTGATTGAGTTTATTTGGGGTGACTTGAGACACAGAGAAGTAAACATACGAAAGTTCTATTAGAATAAGTTTCCCTCTTCTTTCCAGAAATTCACAACTACCTATGGACACTTGTACAGCCAGAATTCTCTTCAAAGGCAGAGAATTGGTTTAATTCTTTTCCAAAGGCAGAGTGGTGTTCCATTGACCAAATATGGAAATGCAGAGAGTGAAAGTTCTGTGGTCGAAAGGGTCCGTCAAGAACAACAACGTGATGTTAGACCACCCAAAGATTTGTTGAATGTCAGAGAGAAACATTCCCTGGCATATATTTTACACACATCTGGAACAACAGGACTCCCCAAAATTGTGAGGGTGCCTCATAAATGCATCGTACCAAATATCCTTCACCTTAGGTAAGTTTTTCCATATACACTTAGTCATATATTTTGATAAGAGGAGGGGTGCCATGGCCTAGAGGTGGAACTCTTGCCTCACAATTGGGAGGGTATGAGTTCAATCCTAGGTGGAGGCAGATATTTCTCTTTCTGGGCACCATGAGAATTTACCATATTTTTGGAGTATAAGATGCACTGGAGTATAAGATGCACCAAGGTTTTGAAGAGGCAATTTTTTTTAAAAAAAAGTTTTTGCACATTGCAAACCTCCCAAAAATGGCCCGTTTTTTGCAAAAACAGACCCATTTGTTTTTTNGTAAACCTAAAATTAACACCTAAACCTAACCCCCCTAAACCTAATCCTAAACCTAACCCTTAACCTAACCCTAAACCTAACCCTTACCTTAAGTTGAATCGGCTTGCTTTCAAAGCGCTATTTAAAGCGCCCTTCTTTCTCCGCGCTGGCTGTTGTCGCCCTGTTGATGACGTCAGCGACGTGGTTTAATCAGGCGCAGCTTAGGCGAGTGCGGTTTTGACGGGTGACGCCTGTGTGGGGGTTCAAGGTTTGCAATTGGGATTTCCCTGTGTGTGGCAAATGGGTCTCTCGTTCCCTCCCTCATTTCTGTTTCTCTTTTTCCTCTCCCTTCCTCCCTCTCTCTCTCTCTCTCCCTCCCTTTCCTTTCTCTTGCCCCATTCTCCCCTCTTGTCTGGGGATCAAAATAAAAATCATTTTAGATCATTAAATACATTAATCCAAAACCCTGGGGGTATGGTGGTTTGGATTTGGCATTGTAGTTTCCCTGCCTGTGGGTGCAGGGTTTCCAATTGTGGTTTCCCTGTGTGGGGGGAAATGGATCTCTCTTTCCCTCTCTCTCATTTCTGTTTCTCTCTCTTTTTCCTCTCACTTTCCCTTGCTTTCTTTTTCTTTCTTTCCTTTCTCTCTCCCCATTCTTTCTCTCATTTGTTTCGAGTCTCACAAAGACTCATTTCTGGCATCTTTTGAGAGTGGGTGGCAGGTGGAGATATTGCTCCGCTTGCCATTTCTTCTCCCCCCTCGCCAGGCATGGCAGGACTCCCTGTGTGTCTCATGGCCTGGCCCGCCCCACCCCATGCCCCGCTCCACCCCACCCCCGAATTGCGCCCGGCACGAGACACATGTCTTACCAGACACTCGCAGCTCCCTTGTGTCTCTGGACAATGGCGATGAATGCGACAGAGCTCCCAATGTCCAGTAAGATGTGTGTCTCGAGCTGGGGCACAATTTAGGGGGTGGCAGGCGGAGTGGGGGATGGGGTGGGGTGGGCCACAAGACATGCGTCTTACCAGACATTGACAGTTCCGTCTTGTCTCAGCTGGTCTGTGCAGGGAAACACCTTGCATAGTAAAGAAAAACTTATTGCAAATGCGAGTAATTAACAACTACTCGAACTCACAAGAAGTTCTTTCTTTCCCATGCAAGGTGTTTCCCTGCACAGACCGGCCGAGAGACACGACGGAACTGTCAATGTCTGGTAAGACGCATGTCTTGCAGCCCAACCCATCCCCCACCCCGCCTGCCACCCCCCAAATTGCGCCCCAGCGCGAGACACGCATCTTACTGGACACTGGGAGCTCTGTCGCATTCATCGCCGTTGTCCAGGGAAACGTAAAAAACCTCGCGACTTCGAGAAGTTTGATTAAACTCGCGAGAAGTTTTTTTACAATGTGTTTCCCTGGACACAACGACAAGGAACGCGATGGAGTTGGAAAGGTAAGATGCGCTTCTTGTCTGGCCACCTGCCATAAATTCCAAAAATGAGTCTTTGTAAGACTTGTGCTGCCGCCTTGTGGAGTAGGACTCTGCAAGGCTTCTTGTATCGTTGCATGCATGAACGGCAGCACTGCCGCGAGGTTTGACATACTGGTGCGAGTAGCTGCATGCCAGCTGCGCCGGTACGGTGAAGCTTGCGACAGTGTTACAGTTCGTGTGTGCAATAGCACAAGCAGCCTTGCAGAGTTCTGTTCCATGAGGCAATGGCAGCAGGACATGTCAGCGCAGTGCTGGCCAGCCGTTCAGCCAGCATGAAGAACAGGGAGGGGATGTGACAGCGGCAATGGGATATCCAGTCTCATGCTCGCCACCTCCTGTACTCCCAAAATAATAAGCCCCCATGATAATAAGGCCAAACCAGCGGTGGGTTGCAGGCGGTACGCACCAGTACGGGCGTACCGGTGCCTGCCCGGAGCACTGAGTACCATTCCGGTACGGAGCTCTGGAGGGCCCGCCCGCCCGAGCTCCTTACCTGTATTTCAGCTTTTTGGCGCATGTGCATGGAGTGCCTGGTGCATGCGCAACACAGTTAGAGCGTCATGGAGACGTCGCAAGAGGTAAGGATGCATGCACACGCTGCACGCATGTGCTGCATGCATTCATATGGTGGAAGCCGAGCCCCGTTGCAACCATACTGGTTGCAACGGATCTGGAACCCACCACTGGGCCAAGTCCTTCTGGGGGTAAAAAAATAAGACCCTGTCTTGTTTTCAGGGAAACATGGTAGTAATGTATTAATTTTTAATAGGATACAAGACGCTGGCATAAATATGTGTAGAATCTAACTTTTTTGCTTCAACAACTTAAGCCACTAGATGGAGTAAGACATATAGAAATAAATCCCTTTTATTTTTAAAACCTTGGCATTTCACTATAGGAACTTATGTAGTTAGGCTGCACTCATACATTAATTGTATCCAATATCCTGTAAAACAGAGGTGGAGAACTATGGTCCTTTCATGACTTATGGATTCAACCCCCAAAATTCCTGAGCCCAGCACGAAAGTTCCCAGGAGTTCTGGGAGTTGAAATCCACACTATCAAAAGGCCATAGTTCCCCACACCAGCTGTGAAATATAAAAGTACATGGAAAACCATAGAGAGCCTTCTCTATGGTTGGTAAGGACCCTCTGTGAATTTTTAAGAACAGCTTGCTTCATTCTGCTAGACTTCTGCAGGTACCTGCTGCGTATTCTCCCATCGATCCAGATGCCTTGTCCAGCCTCTATACTTCCTTCATGAAGACATGTGGTTTCCAATACGTTCTTGTTGAAGAAGATAAAGTTGATGTAAGTGCAACATTTCCCATTTTTATTTTAATTGGCATATTTAAAATGGAAACAGAATTATGCAAACCTTCTACCTAGATTAGTTTTATGTTTACAATGAAGTAAACCCATGGGTGTGAAAGTTGGACCATAAGAAAGGCTGAGCGCCAAAGAATTGAGGCCCTTGAACTATGTTGCTGGAGAAAACTCATGCGAGTCCCTTGGACTGCAAGGTGATCAAACCGGTCAGTCCTAGAGGAGATCAACCCAGACTGCTCTTTAGAAGGCCAGATCCTGAAGATGAAACTCAAAAACTTTGGCCGAGAAGGAAGGACTCACTGGAGACGACCCTAATGCTGGGAAAGATTGAGGGCAAAAGAAGAAGGGGACGACAGAGAATGAGGTGGCTGGATGGAGTCACTCAAGCAGTAGGCTTGAACTTAAATGGACTCCAGAGGATGGTAGAGGACAGGAAGACCTGGTGGAACATTGTCCATGGGGTCACGATGGGTCGGACACGACTTCGCAACTAACAACAACAAAACCCATAGAATTTTAAGTAATTATATCCANAATCTCCAGCATTTAGGTTGTAAGTTTGGGTACATACAAGCTAATTTTTTGGGATCTAAATGCCATCTATAAAACATCTTGTAGAAGTTCTCTCTCAGGTTTTGGGCCTGCGTAAATTTTACGTTTCTTACCCATATCTTTTCTCATGTTTCCATCATTATTGGTTCTTCAAAATTTTGTGCCCGCTTTATCATGCAGTCTTTAACTAGTTCTGTTTCAGAATCTATTTCTATCAATATATTATATAGCCTTTTATGTGCATTTGATTTTCTATACTTCTATACTTATTGTCAGTCCTTGTTTTACATCTCTCTTCCTTCTGCCTGTTCACCCATCCTTTTTTCAGATTTGATGCTGCTATACCACTGGGAACACCATTATCTGGAACAGCAGTTGAAGTCAAAGATGCTGAAGGCTTCCTTGTCCAAGAAGGTGAAGGCCAAGTATTTATAGGTAATTTTATTTTTTTTGTCATTTTTAATTAAATTAATCATTACTTGGAGATGATTCTAGTAGCCATTGGATTCCAGTGAATAAGGAAGCTATTTTCAGGGCGCTAACATTTTACTTCAAACTTCTAGAGATTCCTGATTAGGTAGCGCGGGAATTAGATTGGCGAGAGTATTAAAATAGCAAGGTTTTTCTTACCTATAGTTAGTAATCGGAATAATTGGCTACAGTCCAGTTATTAGATTGCGGACTTTGAATGAGCTTAAAAGATTTCCCCAAGATAAGCATTTTTTTAAAAAAAAAACTGGGATTTAAATATTTTGATTTCTGAACATTATAAAATAAAAATGCAATCAAAAGGTTTTAAAAACTGGCATCAGGTTTCAATAATTTGACAAGATGTTTGTTCTCAACCTCATCAATAAGGCAAGGTATTCTGACCCCCTCCTCCGTTCAGTAACGAACGCCGAGACAAGCTTAACTGGAATGTACTTTATTAGCAAGAAACCAAAACCTTGGTGGCTGAAAGCCA